GCCGAGCTGGAGCTGGAGTTATCGGAGGGTGAGTACTTGAATTTCACCACGGAGCTCGGCGGCTCTGCCTGGCTCTACTGTCGCTGCTCGGTGGGGTGTTTGGTTCGCTCCTGGTCGGTCCCTGCTGAGAGGACAGACCGGTCCAGAGTTTGAGCTCCAACTGCCCCAAGTTCATGTCAGCAGGCCTGTTTGTTGAGCGCATGTTGCCGTGATGGTATCTGTGGTTTATCAGACTGGGATCTGGATGCAGAGGACGTGGTATGGAAACGTGCTTTGAGAGCACTGTAGTCTTCTTATGGAAGACTACTGCACAAATATCCCCTCAGAACGCTCTCACTGGACATGAAAAATACATAGAATGCACTTTAACTATGCTACTTGGCACCACAGGGTACTGCTACAAAAGCATTAAGAATACTACTGAAATATATTTTAGAGGAATATAAAATGCCAGTACTGAGCAGCGGTTATCACATGAATATTTTAGGGTAAAATGCCAGAAAGCACTATATGAACCTTAATATTATTGCTATGTAGCAGACAAAGCTGTTGTGTTAGGGATGCAGCTGTTTATTTTCATTTAATCTGGGGATTCTTCTTTTCTGGTGATGTGATGGAGCCTTATTTTATAGTGTTGCTCATACATGAGTTTCCTGAGCCCAGTTTAAACTCTTCAAATAGTTTTTCCAAACTGCACACACTAAAACATGTGGTCTGCAATTATGTAAGAAAGAAAAGGGATTACATACTCCTATTTAAATCAATCTAGAAACTGCATCTTGGCATTTTTATGATTTATCAATTTACACTGTGTGCTAAAGTGCTAAAAGTTGTAGAATTGTGTCCCAAACCACAGAATATTCAGTTTACAATGCTATAAACAGAGAGAAGCAGTAAATTCCAGGAAGCTGGAAACACAGCATTTCTAACGTTTTTTATGATTAGTTAGTTATTAAAATGGTGATTTCTCCTCTGCTGATAATTCGGCGATTCTTTCTTTTATTAAACATCAGAGCAGATAAACACCGCCATAAAGTGCACTTCAAAGTCTCTGCTGAGCACCAGACGGATGTTTTAGCCCCCACTGGGAATATCATAGGAACACTACGGAGATTTATTTTTGTCTTTGTCAATAAGAAGTTGCTGTGGGAGAGGTTTTTCTCACTGTCATGTTGGAAAATCCCCTTCAGCAGAGCCCTGCATGCTGGTTAGACTATGTGCACCATGTGTGCAGCTGCTACCGGACACACTTTTCACATGACACTCCAGCCAGGCAGCTTTTTTAGGGGATGAATGATTTTCATTATGCTCCAGTGTTTTTTTCCATACTGGCAGAGCATATATTGGTTTCTTTTGCAAGATGCTGAAATGCAGCCTTGGTATTGATTTTCTCATTAGCTCCCTGCTTCTACTTCTCCTCTTCTTCTTTTGCAGATTGATATGTCACATTGCTGCAGACTCACTCTCAGCCTGGAGAGTATCATAGTGTCATATTTCAGGTGCCTGCGAGCGTTGTTTTTCCTGTTTCTCATGGAGGCTGTGCAAGGCTCAGCCATGTATGGAGAAAGACAGAAACAGGCGCAAGAAGGAGAGGGAGGAAGCTTTTTGCTTTTTTTTTTTTTTAAACAGCTAACTGCAAATGCACACTGTGTTTTAATGTGTCCAGTGCAGGTTTGTAAATGCAGCTGAGAGACATGCAGTGATGTAGAGGAGAGGGCAATGATGGGAAAAAGGAGACTTTTTTTCTTTCAGTTGGTTTATTGTAAACAAGTGCACCTGAATGAAATGGGGTCAGATGCCCCAGTGCATTATTTACATGCTTAGCTGATGCTGTAAATGCATGGAGGCAGTGAACGCAACATCTTCTTGCATCCTGCAGACTTTGACCTAATTTTTCAGTTTCCATGCATCATCCCTCTTTTCTCTGAAGCCCCTCGTCATGGGGGAAACGGCAGCAGAAAACGACATTATCAGCAGTCAGGTGTCACTGCAGCTTCACAGGCACCACGTACCCTGCTGAGAAGCCCTCGAGCAAGGCATGAAACCTTCTGTTTCCTGTGGAGGTGCTGAATCATTGTTTGAAGGATGAAAACAGCCTCACAGGGCTGCACCTGTTGGTTAATTTTGAGGTTGTATTTGAAAATGGAAGTTTATTTCACAGGGAGACAGGGGTTAGTACCAAACAGAAATAAGCCCTCCTCATGCAAACACCCTGGAATATCATGACAAGGAAGACATAATTAATCAGACACCTCAGTGCTTCAAGAGTTAAGATCAAATTTTTTCCTGAAAGTTTCGGCTCCATTGAAGCAGTCAGGAGCAAACTGCCTTGCTCAAGAGCCCCTCAGTGGTGCTGAGAAGGGACGTTCAAGTGCTGATCTCAGACTTGAACCATAGATCTTTCATTGACAAGCTCAGGTTCTGCCTCCCTTTGACTTCCTACATTTCCCACAGTGCCTTGCAACAGCCCTGAGAGCACATGTGTAAACATGAAATTAAAATTAGTTTCCTCCAGCTGCTGGTTACCAGTGTATCTTAGGACAGTGATGCCAGATGAAAGAGCGACTGAGCACTCCCTGAGACAGAATGACAGTGGTGCCTTTGATCTGTCTTATAGCTGCATTGAATTCTGGGATATTTGTTTTGTGGGTGTACTGTCTTTTGCTGAGTGTTGGTGCAACCTGACACCTCCTGAAAGAAAGTCCCTGAAGCCATAACCTGATATTTAGAGCTGTTGTTCTAGGTACCTGAAACTCTCTCTGATATTAAACTGCTGGAAAACATCTGAATGCAATATGACGCTTGACTGGGATCTGACATAACCTGACATCTTTTAATAGCAAACCTGAGTTTCATACAGAAATACTACTTGTCTCCATATCTTAGTGGAGCAGCGTTTAAACATGCCTGCTTTAATGCTACTACTGCTTTGTTTAAAAAAAAATTCTCATCACTCATATTTTTAAATCAAATACACAGTCTGTCCAAGCAGTTGATGTCAGTCTTTGGGACTTGACAGCTTGTGACACTTGTAATGGACTATGACTATTCTCAAGTAGTGAATTATCTACTGATTTTTTTTCTTTTCTTTACCAGTCGATTAATCATTTAGTCCTTAAAATGTGAGGACAAATGGACATCGCAAGTCTAAGGTGTTGTCCTCCAACTGAATGGATGTTTGTGACTGCAGTGTGATTATTACAGTATCTTCTTTGATGAAAAGCATTCTCAAGCCTATGAACTCAACTTTAGAATACATTTAAAGCAAGTCCCGACCTCCAGTCTGGCCACTGAAGGAGTGATAACCTGAGAAAATGTCCCCGCTTTCTAAGATGTGCTCACTCTTGAGGTCTGTTGGTCCTCAGAAGTCTAGAAGATGCCACACCGCAATGTTAAGCCTCTCCCTGTGAGTGTGCTCGGCTTCAGCTGCAGACTGACGGACAGGTTGCCCTCTGCTAATCTGGCTGCTGGCTTAGTATTAAGCTCTGCGGTTCTGCAGCCCAGATGACAAGCTGTCCACCTCAACATGCTGCAGGTTTGACACACACCAGGCGATACTCACCTGACTTGCAGTGTGTGTGTGTGTGTGTTTTTGTTGTAAATTTAGATGTGGCTCCTTTTTCTACCTTTGGAAGGTGAACATGCGTTTGTGCCACACCCTCCCATAGACCACCTGTCATCCAAGTACTGCAGGCTTTTTCACAGTAAATGTGCATCACTGCTGAATGTTACATGAGTCCAGAGTAGGGCTGTCACTTTTCCAGAAATCATGTTCAAATGATATTCAAACTGACACAAAATTTGTTCGAATTAATTCGAATACAAATGGAGAGGGAGGTTGCAGGTGAGTCCTCTGGTGTGTGGTTGTACTTGAGTAGGTGTCTGCTTGGTGTCTGCAGAGTCAGAAAACTGTGTGACACCGCTGTGGTGCCGTTATTGTCCAATCAGCAAACAAAATGTTAGTAGCGCACTGTACCGAAAGGTCAACAGGACTGTAACTGCTCAAGCTGATAGTGAATTTTAAGAACGTCCTCTGCTGGACTACAAGGCAGTTGACATCAAACGGCCTGCTGGGCTTATTGACATAGCGTACATTATTGGATTCGAACACGTCAGTACAGTTTGTCTTTTTCATTACTACATTCAAGTGAATGTTTGAAATTCAAATAAAAAGTGACAGCAGAGGTTACTTGTTCAGGCCTCATGGTGTGTAAAACGTCTGCTGTGTGGAAACTAAGTTATTATAATATGCATAAAAAGGTCATTTTGAGAAGTAATGTAGATGATATACCTTGTGGGCTGCATAAAATGTTATGTGAATTATGTGATCTTTCTGGACTTGCTGCACTTTACAAGACTGTTGTGTTGGTTAGCTGACGCCGGCTACCTAGAGGTCCTGTCTACAAGATATGAGGCTGGGGAAGTCGAATGAGCAGTGTGTAAATTCTGCTTTATCCAGTGTGTCCTGCTAACAGATGAATCTGTGTTCAGGCTGATTGTCAGGCTGGAGGTCTGGTACAGGACAGGATCAATACTATCCCACAGGTGTAGCTGTGGGATAGTATTGATCATGCTCTTGTAAGTGGTGCAGGGTTTTATGCACATGTAGGCCCCAAAATATTGATATCATGTTTTGGTTGTCTTGTAGTTTCTAAAGAAAATAATAGCTTTTTACTACTGAGAAATGTGTTTACAGTTTAACCCAGTATGTGAACTTGTGGAAACAACAGTGTTGCTCAGTTGTTGAGCGTAGAAGAGTTCTGACTAAACTCTGAGAAGCTCTTCACACAACACTGGTGTTTATCTGGCAGCAATGTTCAGCCCGAGCAGCAATAGGATGCCTTAAAGAGGGAACACATTGAACAAGTGTTGGACCGATTATGAATGGGATGTGGTCAGACCGAGCCCCCCCCCCACACACACACATCCAGGATCTCACCAAACTTTGTCCTTCCTTCTTGTCACTTCCTGTGCAGATTGCTTTGTAGACCATGGGTAGATATGTTTACGTGTATTGTCCACAGAGTT